TTTAGTATTACACCAATGTTTGCTCGCGTTAAATAGGTTTATTCGATTGGCGAATTGCTACTTCAATTTACCCAAGCAACCACACAAATACAACCTCAAGAACAAAGAAACACAATAAATACAAGTAAGGCAACATGCACCACAAAGACAGGTCCACCCAATAAAATCACAGAAACACACCACGTTATCACAACCCACTGATCGTATTCAACCCAAACGCAAAGCCAAAGAAACACTTACACAATAAACTCCATTTAATAAAATTACAGGAATTATTATAATGATTTTTTTGTTTGATTTGTTTTCCTCTTTCCTGATAGCGTTGGCTATTGTGCCCATCAATAGCTATGTTGGTAAGTATGAAATACATACTATCTCTAGATTTCCAATGTGAGGGTGTGAATTTTTATAGGACCCTACATAACTTCACCAGACACAGACACTAATCGTTACTTGATTTTAATCCGTGCGATTAGTTAACCAGGCTAGACCTGAGTTCTCACAAGATACACCGACCATAATAATAATAATAATAATAATAATAATAATTTAATCAGTATAAGACAATTGCACAATTGTATAACATCGTCACAAACAGAATATAATAACAAGCGGAGGTACTTCGTACTAAATCTCACAATATAAATTACTATATAAATTAATAATGGAAACTAGACATTTTTCATACAGTCCAAGAATTCCTGGTGGCTGTAAACAACATTTTCTATTAAAAAAGATTTTAATGTTTTTTTAAATTGTACAAGTGATGTACCTTCATTAAGTGAATACGGTAACATATTAAAATATTTGCACCCGGTATATAAAAATAATATACAAAATTTGCTATTATATACCTATATATGTGGAATTCAGTGTATACTTTTTACAAATTAAAACATTTGTTTTTAGCAAAACTGGGTATTAGATCCTTTGAATATAAGAATATAACGCAGGGAGTAGATATCCATATACGGCACTTTTCAATTAAGTCTTATAGGTAGATGAACTATTTTTGATAGGTCAATATGCCGTATATGCAAAAAATAACATATACGGAATATTTACCTAAAAATATTCTAAGTTTTTTTGCCGCATATGCAAATTTCGATCAAGTATTATAAAATTTCGCGTTCTTCAAAGTATCTATAATTGAACATCATGTGTGTAACTTAACCTGCAATTTCTATGTCAAAACCTTAAAAAATGACGATCGCATCAAAAAAAAACACAAAAATGTGTTTAACTCAAAACTGTATTTCTGCAGATACGGCATTTTCGTTAGTTAGGGCAGTATACTACTAATAATAATTATTATTGTTATTATTACAATAAATAATACATCAATAAATACTACCAACAATACTACCTCGTGCAAAGTTTTTGATGAGTTCTCATTAACAGTCGATGATTGATTTATCTTCTGGTTTTTATCTATTCTTGTTTTTCGGCATTTGCGTGTCTTTTCATTCAGATTATCGAATTTGTCGCCATCACTATCACTACTCTCATTTGGAATATAGTGTTTATCAATGTCACTATCATCGACGCTTTCTTCATCAGATTCCCATAAATTCTCGCTTTGTTCTGGTGTTGTACATTGAATAGCACAACACGAGGCACCATCATGTACGTCGTGCTAAAAAGTTTTTTATTATGGAAAAGTTAATCAAGAAATTTTACTTTACCCGTTTTTCTGCTTGCATTGTGATTTCAGAAGACGAGCATTAAGAGAGAGAGACCATTAAGCATTCGCTAAAACATAAGATAAAGTACCTAGTTTCACTAGGCATTCATAAAATAGTTACCTCCTGTCCCTTTTCATTCTGATTCATAATTATTTGATTAATAAGTGGAATACCACTAATTCCGCTCATCTTACTAAACTTGATGCACAACGTAAACTAATACAACATTATAACCCAGCGTTTACCAGGGTAATGCACGTGCTTATCACGTTGTGAATGAAAGATGGTTGCTCTTAAACATTCCCTCCTATTATTTTAGTCGGTAGACGATAAGCAAAATAGACGCAAATGCCAGTCAAAAACACAGTAACTGCAATGCAACTGCTGTGTTATAGTTTGGCATTTATCACTTACTATGTTTATTGCTCAAAATTATGGTACGGGTATGTCAGTTACTGTGTTCTATCAGAATCATTTCACCCACTTGCAGTCATCGTACAGCAGTTTTTTTTACAAATCTAGGTAGAGAACCAAAAAAATCACCGCAATGTTGGTTACTGTGTTTTAGCTTAGGGCAGCCGAGTTGTTCCTTAGAGCCATTTAAACGATTTGACCCGAAGAACACTTGACATTTTCCGTGTGGGTAGGTTTTAGAGGGGTTGGGGGTGATTTATTGTAACATTTTTTTAAAAACTAAATATGGCCTAGAGACGAGATCTGGGTGTCGATTTCGTATGATTTTAACCCGAGGAATCCAATGGTAGCGCCAGAAATGTAATCCGGATACCGGAAGTCCGTGAAAAGCCGCCATTTTTAGAAAATGACAGACTTTTGATCTAATTATTTTTCTAAGGCACACCGGGTCGTGTAAGGTATCTAGACCTATGTTTTTGGGGTCAGGGAATTCATTTATGATAACAAAAATAACCTACTGGCATCAGAACTGCATGAGAGGCTTCCCTACTGCACTTTTTGAAGACGTCGCACGCGGTGAAACCCAAGATATTCCAAAGTTTTAATATTGGTATAAACATATATTTTATTTAATAAAAATACACATTAACAAAACACAAGATATATCAAAACATGGGGTAAAACATTTTTGCCCATGAAGGATCACCAAGTACATCGCTGACCTCCTCCGAGATTAAGTTATCACCACTGAAAAGGAATTTCACATATAAATATTAAAGGTTCAGTAGTAAATTATATCGAAAGTACACAATATTCTTTGTTTGAGCAATCTCCCATACATTTTTGGCATGCAGGGGAACATGGCAATCCGTGTCGCCGGCAGCTGCACTGCACCGAAGGGTCTTGCAGCCTGTCGCGCAGCCACACCTGTCCAGAGCACGGACTGCCTTCCATACTTGTGGCAGCTTGAACCACAGAACCTTCCACCCTTTGGCTTCAAGAGTCCATCCCCATCCTTCTGCTAGCTTCTCATTACCTGGTTTGCACATTCCCAGATATGGCCAGCGACATACGCCGCCCTCTTTATGTGCTCCTCCAACGCAGCACGAGTTGTATTGTATACTTTCGATATCTTTTAATACCGAACCTTTAATTTTTATACCGGGTGAATATTCCCAAACCGAACATAGGCAATTAACTTGGGAAAAGGGTTTTTTGCAGATCGTTGCTCCCCATGTTAACTTAGAGGGTTGATCATGACACCAATCGAAAGAACATTTTTTTCTCATCTAATGATATACGAATTAGTTCATTTTCAGGTGTATTTCTCACTATTTTATCAAAAATTAATTATATATAATTTAAATATTCGAAATTTTACATTTTTTGTTCTGATTAAAAGATTTTTATCTTTCCTAGGTCTAGCTGGGTATATTGAAGTGACCTTTGAACCAGAAACCACAAGCCACAGCTCATATGGGAGTGGTGCTATCATGGAGGGTATATACAAATTAAGGGTCTGCATAAGTAACTTCCATCAAAATCGGGCATTGGTTGAAGGGGCCCATATAATAATAATAATAATAAATTTATTGCCCAACAGCAAAAACCAATTATAGGACAACTTAACAATATATATAATAATAACATTTAAATACACTATTAATTAACATCGAGATTAACATTTAAACACACACAACAGTAATAATATAACAAAGTAAGTAGATATAAAGATATATGAATAAATAAATAAGTAGGTATAAATAGGTCTAACTAAGATTGATTGGGGAAAAAAGATAGATGTAGTTTAACTTAATATTGAAAAGAGAATTCATTACAAAATTGCAGATGATTCGATATATCTACAAGTTGCAGATGATAATGACATTACGGATATTGATGACAAAGTTCTCGCCAAAGAAACATTACGTGGTGGAATCCACACACCACGAGAAAGGCCACTCCAACATGCTAGCGATAAGAGTGAAGAAATTGTCGAAAAATCACCTCGAATGAATTTGAATGACCGTGCGTTTAATACTTTAAGTCTTTCACAGGTACAAAATTATCATATTTCAACACATTTTTTTAGAGATGTTTTGACTTTGAAAACGAATTCCAAAATTAATAAGATTGCGATCTTGGGGATCTAGGACGACGCCTTGAAGAATTCGAATTTGAAGATGAATATGCTAACAGTGAGTTTTCCTATTGTTTCGGAATGTATTTTTATTTTTCATGTAAATTTAAATGTTTTCTATTTCATTTTTGGTAATACATTTTGACAAATGTTTTAAATTTTTGGTGAATGTATAAATAAAGAAACACGAATTTGTTTATTTCTCTCTAGCAAGTAAATTAAGGATGTGAAGGTACATCGGGGATATTCTCTATTGTGATGTGGCTTTATTTCCAAATCACACCCAACATTAACAAAAATTTTATCTAACAATAAACAAAGAGAGAACCCCCTATCTAAATCAGGCATATATAAAATTCAATGTAAAGATTGCGAAGCCCCTTACATAGGATTAACCAGCAGAAACATTACAACACGCTTCAAAGAACATATAAACAACAGACCAAAATCAGCTGTAGGCACACACCTTCTCGAAGATGTACACAACACTGACTTAAACCACACACATCTCTTACACCCCTGCAATAACTATTCAAAATTAATTATACTTGAACACTATGAAATAGAAAAACATAAAGCACAAAATTCTCACACCCTTCTCAACGGAAACACAATTTTCCCATATTTACAATTACATAACACCACTCCATAAACACTAACACACATATACATAACCTACACCCAGGCGCCCATTCCATACTACGTCCATGACGCACCGCACGCCTATGAATCCGACCTAAGCTATAAATTTCACCTGTCTAAAGGTACATTTACATTCAATTCAAAGTCGAATTTCTCTTGATATGTGACAGCTTGTCAAATGTGGTGGCCATACTACCATTTACATAAGCGGAAATTTGAAGCGCACTTCGAAGTGCACTTTGAAGTGGCGCAAGCACGCTTGAAGAATTCAAGCAGAACGTTAAATTTATAGGTTAGTGTTCTTTTTTGACAATATTTTTTGATTGTTTACATTGTTATCCATATCCATAATCACGTTTTAATTAAAGTTCTGCAACTAGGAGATTGTTTTCGTAGCTGGCACAATAGTATTGATACTTTGACTTCCAATATGAATTGTATTGAGAGTGAATCCGAGGTGGTGATAGAAATACCTGAGTTTAATGAAGAATTATTTCTAAAATGCATTTGCAACTACCCTGCGATTTACAACCCAAGCAGCAAGGCATATAGTAACAGAATGTTAAAAGAAACGGCTTATGAAAATATTGCCCGTACCATGCTAACAACTGGTAAGTCAGTACTCGGTACCTAACTGCATGTAGCATAATTATATTGTATAATTTGCAGTCGACATTTGTAAAAGAAAGTGGAAATCACTTAAGGAGAAATACAATCGGGAAAAACATAAATTAGAAATGATGTCTAGAAGTGGTGCTCCTGCATTCCAAACCAATAAATGGCAATTTATGTCATTCTTTGAATATATGTATGATGATGTGACACCAAGGAGGTAAGTTCATAATATCATTACAAATAATTAATAGTGCGATTTTTAGTACGCAGTCCAGTTCATTGAGCGATACAGGTAGAAGGTGAGTTGTGATTAATTATGCAAGTAATTGTAAATAAAAAACTTGTTTTTTTAGTAGTATTGAACTTGAAGAAGCTGCGGATGTGACACTTGTGCCATCTAATGAAATGAGTTCATCTGTATTGCCATCAACTTCAGCTTGCAGTACACCCCCTCGACGAACACAGAAGCGGAAAATTACCCAAGATAATGGAAAAGATCCTGTAATTGAAATACTTTCCAAAGTTAGCAATTCAATTGAGAAGGTGAGCAACAGTGCAGTAGCCAATGATAAATTCACAGATTTTGCACGGTATTTGTGTGCAGAACTTCGAGAGTGGCCATATGATAAAGCGAATGAATTTATGGATGAAACATTAATTAGATTATTACAAACAAAAAGAAAAATTGTGTAAATGTAAATTCACAAGTTATTTTTATATTCCTAAAATCCTATTTAAATGTGAATTTCAAAATAAATTTTATTTTCTATGTACTACATTATTCAGTTCTTTTTATACAATCCCACTGCCATGGACATAAATCACCCCCAACGCCATTTACATATTCTTTAATGTAGTCACGAAGCTTCCAGGCAGCCTTAGCAGCATTCCGGTTCCCAAAACGTACAGTACCAGATTGAAATGCTGTATTTTCACTGACCATATCTCGCCAACTGCCAGGTTGAATAGTACCATTTGTGTCCCTGTCTACAACTGAACTGTTATAATACATGTCAATTTTCTCACTTTTAATAAAATTATGCAGGCATACAACTGCTTTAACAATTGCATCAACTGTTTCTGGTTCAGCATGTATTTCGCGAAGAAATATTCGAAATCTGGCAACCATAATGCCAAAGGTATTTTCAATGACCCGTCTTCCTCTTGACAACCTTAAAAATATTCAGATATCAACATGATACTTACTATAAACTAACCGATAATTAAAAATAAGTTGATCTTCAGGCATACGTTTCTCCCGTTTGCTGTAAGGTCTTAATAGATTGGTCAGCAAAGGAAAGGCCTCATCACCAATAAAAAATGTTGGAACAGTACAATTGTTGGGATCGTTTGGTAAAGGACAACCTATTGGTAAGTTTAATTGCCCTGATAATAATTTTTGCCCCAAACTGGATTTTCTAAATACACCACCATCACTCTGAGCTCCATAAGAACCAATATCCACATAGATAAAATTATACTTGGCGTCACATACAGCAAATAAAATTGTGCTGAAGTATTTTTTATAATTATAAAATCTTGATCCTGAATTAGACGGGGCTCGGATTCTAATATGTTTCCCATCCATTGCGCCGAGTGTATTGGGCATTTGCCATAAGTTGTAAAAGTCTTGTGTCACTTTTAGCCAGCCCTCTTCTGAAGGTGGCTTTAAATATGTTGGAGATAGAACGGCCCATAAAATATGACATGTTTCCCATACAATGTTACATATAGTTGAAGGATG